TCTCTCTCTCTCTCTCTCTCTCTCTCTCTCTCTCTCTCTCTCTCTCTGCGTGTGTGTGTGTGTGTGTGAATGTGTGTGACCGTCTGTCATTCTTTAGGCAGTGTCTACCTTGCTCCTCTAATAAAGGGTCTCACTGACTTGGGACTAAGTAGGTTTGGTGGGCCGTCTTGCCACCCCTGGGGATCTGTCTGTCCCTCAAGACTCGCTTTGCTTTATATGGATTCTGGGACTTGAACTCAGGTCCTCATGCTTGTGTGTATCTATGTGAGCATTGTGGGCATCTGTTTGGAGGGGGGCGGGGTGAGATTGCTGTGATGCACCTGCCAGGTCATAGGTCAACCCACAGGAGTCAGTTTTCTCCTCATGTAGGTTCCAGGAATTGAACTCAAGTCTTGGAGGCAATCCTCTTTATCTGTTGAGCCATCTTGTCTGCTCACCATTGTTTTATTGACTATAAACTCTCCAGTAAACATCATTTTAGTATTTTGTGTGACGAAGCAGCTACCCCCCAGTGAGCTTGGTGTGCCGCAATACTGCAGCCTAATACTCGCCTTAGCTGGGAACTTGGGAGCCAAACACGTCATGGTTTTCAGCCACCCTGTTTTCTCTTGAAAGGAAAATGATGTGATTGCTCTGATTTGGGCGTTTAGCAGATGTTCCCTTGAAGAAGAGATGAAAGGGCTGGGCTGTCTCAAGTAAAATGATGAGGAGCTTTTGTTATCAGTGTTTACATTCTTGCTGAAGGGAACGTTTGTTACCAGTGGTTACCTTCTTGCTGAAGGGATTGTTGGAATTTTGAGGACTAAGGATGTAGCCAGTTGGTAGCGTTGATACTTGGATGCACACCGCCCTGGGTACTGAGAGAAAGAAGAGCCAGAGAGATGGCCCAGTGGGTAAAAGTGCTTCCTGTTTATGGAGAGGACCCAGGTTCATGATGGCTCACAACAGCCTATATAGCTTTGTTCCAGGGGACCAGACACCCTCTTCTGAACTCTTAACGTAGGCATGTGTGCACACAGTGTGCTTGTAGACATGTGGGCAGACACTCATACATAAAATAAATTGATAAAAGTGAGGAAAAAAGGAAGAAAAATAAAGAAATGAACTAGAATTTTCTGTCGGCTTAACCACTTTGAACTCTTATCAGGCTGTTGATGTCAGCCTTGGCGGGTCCACCTAGCTCTGTCAATCACTGAACATTACAGATTGATAACTGAATAAAGATATTCTAGGGGTGAGGTCTCTCTGAGCATGTCTTGAGATGCCAGATTAGCCCGAACAAGTCCCTCAAGTTCTCTTCATTTCCTTCTGGTGAGAAGGGACTTCCAGGGTGTCCAACTGTAAGCCTGGAGAGCTGTGGGGGGCAGTGGTCACCGTGTGATCACCCTGGAGGGCAGTGGGGGGC